GATAGGTTTGTTCTCCTTGCAGTCCAGGGGACTCTCAAGAGTCTCCTCCAGCACCACAATTCAAAAGCATCAGTTCTTCGGTGGTCAGCCTTCTTTGTGGTCCAGCTCTCACTGCCTCACTGCAAAAATAATTGGACAAAGATGTGAGCTTGCTTCCAATCCGTGCCCCAAATAGCTGGCAGCTGGGTCATCCGATTTGCCAGGTTTCGCCTGGAGTTTGAACCCCATCTCCTGGGGTTTCTGTCCTGCCTGTTTCCACAGCCAGAAGGAATTCTGCTTCCTTCTGGGCCTTCACCTGCCCTGCTTCTGTGAAAGCGCAAGGACCTGACATGCTTTGGCCTTGATCCTTTCCAGATGGTGATGCTACGGACTGTGGCCATGAATGAGATAGAAAGGGGAGCTGTGAATATGAAGGACGAGGCCACGGAGGCCATTCCGCAACCCTCTGCTTGGTACAGGGGGCTTTCTGAGGCTCAGCCTCAGTCTTTCCAAGGGAGAATTTCTACGTCCAAATGGTGATTTGAACTAGGAATGGAAAGGGGTTTAGCAAAGCCCACTTTGAGGGCCAAGGGCTTTGCTTTCAGACAGTGTTTGTGCCACGGGACTCCTTTCCTGCTGCTTTCTTCAAATTCCTTTGAAAAATTGAGTTTTTTCAGACCCAGGCACCCTGGCTCCTTCTGCATTTCATTCCTAGCATCGAACCCTTCCCACTTGTTTGAGAGTTGCCCTCTTCAAAGCGTATTCTGCTCCTTTCCAAGGTGCTTTGCAAGTCATAAGACCAAGCAGGGGTGGGTAGGAAATGACAAACTTACAAGATGCTCCCAGACTGAGTCCCTGGCTTCTCCAAAGGAAAACACACCTTCAAACCAGTGGAAAGAAAGATAACCCTTGACCCAATACAGACTAGAACCAATTAATTTTCTCCAGTGAGATCCCTTTAGCACTTACCCCCAAAGAAAGGTAATCAATTTGTTAATTTATTTCCGTTCTGCTGCATTATTCCTCAGTCACTGAGAACAGCAATCCTGTGTTGTTGTTTTTTAAGAGGCATGTAATAGAGAAGGCTGGACAGTAAAGCAAGTGGATAGAGGGGGGGAATGATTCACGTGAAATGTAATGCTGGAGGAGAGCTTGGTGGATGCCCTTGACTGCCAAAAAGTGAACTAGTAAGTCTTCCGGAATACATTGAACTAGGAAGTCTTAGATCAAATGAAACCTGAACTATCTCTCTGGAGGGAAAAATGCTGAAACTACTCTGGCCACATCCTGAGAAGGAAAGATTCTCTGGAAAAGACTATATAATGCTGGGAAAGGTGGAAGGCAGGAGGAAAAGAGGAAGACCCAATGGGAGATGGACTAACTTCCTAAAAGAAGCCACAGGCTTAGAGTTTAAGAAGAGCTGAGAAGGACCGTTGGGGAGAGGGCATTTAGGAGATCTCTCATGCAAAGCGTTGCCATAAGTCAGGGGTGGTTCCACGGCATGTAACAACAGTAGTAGCAACAACAGGAGTCACAGATGAAGTGCTGAAGCTGCATCTAGCCAAGATTTCAGGAGGACAGGAAGACCCCTGTATCTGCAGGGGATCGGTTCCAAGCATCGCTGCAGATGCTGAAAAATGCTGATTATAGCAAGCACAATTTTAATAGCAAATAGCATGGTTTCTGGCTCACTCTAGTGGTCACTTCCAGTAACTTCACCTTTAGAAATATATATTTCTAGGATTTTTCTTTTAATATTTTCAGACTGTAAATAAGTGAATCAGTGGATACTGACCCTGCATTATATGGGGTATGTGTGGGTGTGTCCTACTGTACTTTCTCATTGCTTCACTTAGCTGCTTCTTCTTCTTCTTCTTCTTCTTCTTCTTCTTCTTCTTCTTCTTCTTCTTCTTCTTCTTCTTCTTCTTCTTCTTCTTCTTCTTCTTCTTCTTCTTCCCTAGCCAACTGCCTGAATTTGTATATCAAAGAGGGTCCCAAGCATCAAATATTCTGTGGCTGACTATTATTGTGATGTGCTGCAGAATATTTAAATGCACTCCACCGAAAAGCACTCTTGCCAAGAATTAGATTGAGGCCGACTCAGTTGTCTTGCATGTGTAGAAAGAGAGAGAGGGCTTCAGAAATCGACCTTTTTAGCGTCCTTTCGGCTCCTGGTGGTGTTGGCTGGGGATTTATCAGCGTGGTAGTCCAAAAAACTCGAGTCCAAAGTACTGAGCCCTTGAAGGAATCTTGACTTGCGTAAGTGCTTTCTGCCTGGGTTAGGGAAGATGGCCTTCTCAAATTGAGGAGTCGGCTTTGCCACCAGCTGTTCCCACTCATTTCCCTCTGGGTCTCCTTCTCAGGTCCATGCTTCCGGATGTGGTGGATGATTTTAAGCTCCATCCAAAGAATGCAGACCCCACCTGTCACAACCTGGAGCCTCTTTTCTATTCGTCGTTCTTCTTCGTCAACAAGCTGGCAGGCGGGATTTCTCTTGGCGTTTCCACCATGAGCTTACAGTAAGCGTCCGGTTCTCCATGCTCAACCTCTGTCTCTCTCTCTCTTTTCTCTTTCATCAAACTATCCCCCCCCCTGCAATTCAGACCAGGTACTATAACCTTGTGTAGGACATTGATGGGGAACGTCTCTCTCCCCTGCTCCCCAATGTTTATGAACTTCCAGCGTGATTTGCTGTGGGCCAGGCGACCTCTGGCGGATGGAGTTCAGCAACATCTGGAGAGACATGGGGCACGCACATCTGTCCGAGCGGCTGGTTTCCAAACGGTACCTTCCATGGTGATACAGGCTACCTCCTATGGAACCAGAACCTCCCCATCATTTCTTATGCCTATCTTTCCCAAAAGTTTGCTTCCAATGCACTTTGTGGTGGAGGTGAGCATGTGCACCCCCCCGACCAGGTCTCTGGGCAAAGATAGGGATTAAACCAAATCACAACCACCCACCACGTGGAGGTCTTCCTTGGGGGGGGGGAAGGAATTTCTCCAAAACTCTCTCATCACCTCTATCTGTCCTTTACTGGTGATACTGGGAGAGAAGGTCAGGAAGAAGAGAGGCAATCCTTCCTCAGATAAACAGTCTGGTGTTGAATGGCAATAGCCATTTAAATGCCAGGAGCCAGTACAGAGAAGTCTGAAGGGGCAGTGAAGAGCCGTTAGCTTTGCAAAAGACCTGCTTCTGGTGCAGAAACAGCGGGTTTCTTGATTCTAGTCCATACCTGGGGAAGGGCTGATTCTTGGGGCTTCTGTGGGGACAGCCAGCCTTTCCAAATTTTACAACTGGCTGTGGGCACTCCCCTTGCCTCCCTCACCTTCTTTGTAAGTACTGTACATCTCTTTGGACATGCATTAAGTACTGCTTTGTTATACAGTATTCCTGTCATACCTTTCAGTGAGTTAGAGGTAGATGTGCTGCTTCCCCACACACACACACACACACACAATACACACACACCCCCAACTCAGGCCAGTCTGACACACAACCCTTGAGTCTTAAACTCTCAAGGCTGAGCGGGGATTGGAACTCAAGTCTCTTGTGTCCCTAGTCCATCACTCTAACCGCTAGCCCCAGTGGCTTCTTCCTTTCCCCCCAAAAAACGACACTTTTGGGCAGCTTTGCAGGCTACCGGGCCACGGACTGTGTCCAGAGACCCCAGGTCATCCTCGCGCTGCGGCTCCTGATGGCCCCGGCTCCCATGGCCTTACTGGCGCTGGCCATGGTGGTGCTCTACCCCTACCCCGTCGGTGAAAAGCGGAGGAGACAGACAGCGGAGGAGAAGGCGGCGGCTGTTTGGTGAGGATGGGATACCCTGAGGCACCTTTGGGGGAATGACAGTGCCTGGGGTGGATGGGCTTTGTGGTCCACAGGAGGGCCTTGTGTTGGTGGAAGGCGGCTCTTGGAGAAGGCGTCTATGGAGCGGTAGATCGGTTGGTCTTCAAAGGTCATGAAGGAGTGGGAGGAAGGAAGGAAAGAAAGATGGGGAGAAACTAGGAAGGCAGGCAGGCAAGTCGGAGGGAGGGAGGAGTTGTACTCCAACCCAGTAACTTTTTCTGAGCTTAGAAAAACCATAGGAATAAGAAAGGGGGGGCGGGGGGCGTTTCCTGGTTCTGCATCGGCTACAGAAGGCATGGGTTGAATCCTCCTCATTTCCTATCTGCTTTTCACTTTTTCCCTCAGGAATCGGCAGGGCGCTGAACTCTCAGACGTACAGGCAATTTACACCCCAGAGGATATAACTGGGGAAATCAGTTGCTCCCAGCCGCGAGTGCGATGACAGCAGAAAGCTTGCTGACCGCTTTGGCCTCTGGTTTCTAAAGAGAGAGCTCTCTTGCATCATTTTTTAATTTTTTTTTTATTTTTTTTTTGGCCTTTGGAATGCACTATAAAATTGATCTGGTGCAAAAAAAAGAAAAAAGAAAGAAGGAAAGAAAGAACAATCCAATGAACGAATGAACGAAGCTTCATGTGAAGCTATGGATTCTTCAATGAGGCTTGAAGGAAATCTGCACAGAGTGAATTCTTCCTCCCTAAAGAGAGGATGGAACAAGGAGCAAGGACTTTTAAAATAAAATAAAATGAAAGAGCAGATTGGCAAACGGAGGCAGTTGCGATGGCTGTCGCCTCGTGATTTTAGAGGGAAAGCAGAAGTGCTGATTGTGGCATTTGGCAGCCTAGTGAGCAGGCTCCAGGTGGGTGGGACAGCAAGGCCCATCGTCCCCATGATGGCTGGGGATATTGTCACCTGACAGAGACCGAGGGACTCAGGAAGTCTGGTTTATTGCGTGTAGGATATTTTGCCTCAGAAAGAGAATTAGTCTGCTTTTTATGAGCCCACGGCATCTTCTGACGAGGGCTGTTGTGGTGTGTCCTGCAGTTTCAGGGAATGAGAGAGAAAAACCCACCAGCCCACACAGACATTTTGAACCTTTGATCAATAATCTATATTTGATCCTGGTCGCTAGGGGATTCTGGGAGTTGTAGTCCAACAAATGAGAAGAATCTCTCCCCCTGAAATCATGTTTTCCACGCTCCGTTGTTTCTGACCTTGGCCGGACTCTGGTCGTTCTGTCTGCCTCTTTTGGCACCTGCCCTCCATGCCAAGCAAGGTGCGCTTTCTTTGTATCTCAACGAGATGGATAGTTCAGCTCCAGCCGTCTTTATTTTTCCAAGCTAGAGATAAAAATGAAAGGCAGTTGCCAGTTGTGGCCCAACGCTTTTCGAAAAAAACAAAAAACAAAGCAGCCTGGAAAAAAGAAAAGAAAATGCATATAAGCTGGAGGTAATCAGCAAAATGATGAGAAGCTGTCGGGGGGGGGCTATGGAGTGCGGGAACATGGGGTTTTGCTCCCCATCCTTTTTACGCAGGTGTGCTTGTGTGGCTTAGCTTATATTTTGTTGGTGCCATGCACGTCTGGTCGGTTTGTTCCGGTGTGTTCTGCGTTTTGCTTGGTATTTTGTATGCCTGTGGTTTTTGTTTGAAAAAAAAAATGCTTCAGATGAAGAATCTGTCGCTGGAGATTCCCAAAAAAATTATTCACATGATGGCATTTTCAGTTACTCTGCATGGATGTGAAGGCTAGACACACTGGAAAAATGTGAGAGGAGAAGAATCAGTTGAATAATATGGTCCTGGAAGAGAGCTTTACGGATTCCAGGGACCGCCAGAAAGAAAAAGAAATAAGGTTCTAGATCAAATCAAGGCCAATATCTCACTGCCAGCTAAAATAATCTGTTTACAGCTATTGTATTTGGGATGCATCAAGAGAAGAATTATGTGAAAAGACGAAAAGTTCAAGGTAGCAGGAGAAGAGGATGGCTGAACCTGAGAGGGATTGACTCAATAAAAGAAGCCCCAAACTTTCCAAGACCTGAGTCAAGTTGTTAATCGTAGGACTTTTTTTGAGGTCACTCATTCATAGCAAATCAAATTAGCGACATGTAGTAATAATAATTGTGTGCCTTGCAGGAGGGCCTGAGTGTTTGGTGCCTTGGCATCTCTGCCATGGCGACTGTTTCGTTAAGGCCCCCCCCCCCAACGCTGTTTCAAAATAATGAACTGTTCCTGCTGGCTTAAAAAGGTTGGGGATCCCTGCTCTAAATGGTTTTGATTGCAATTATGGGTGGGGTTGCCTATGGATCTGCCCCTTCTCTAAGGTGCTCCTGAGAGACCTGGCAGAAGGTCAGTAAGGATGTTGGGCCATTAAAAAAAAGGACCTTCTTAGTGGTGGCTCCTAGGAATTAACTCTTGATTGGAAAAAAAAACCACACACACCCAGAACTGACTGCAGGAAAGGCTGCTTTTTAAAGGGACTTTAAACATGCACTTCTTCCTTTTTGGTTCTTAATTGAAAAGGTGTTTATGGCTGTTGCTGCCGTTAGACACTTGGAAATCCATTTTATTCTAACTGACTGGTTCTAAGGCTCTTTAAGAGGAAGGTGTTTTAGCCAACGTGGCACTGAATATTACTGCTTTGTACCCTAAAGCTGCCAAGATAGGGCTGGGAAGTTTGCAGCTTCGCAAAGAACGGCATAAAATCAAATTCAGATCCTTTAAGAAGAGTGTTTTCCAACCAGGTGTCCCACAGCAAACGTTTTCAACAACTCAGCCCCCCATCTTCTCAGCCAGCAAGCTGGTTGGGGAGGATGGGAATTGTAATCCAACGCAGGTGGCGTGTGCCAAGTTGTGGAACGCCGCGCTGGCTGGGGGATTCTGGGAGTTGTAGTCCCAAAAAAGGTAACATCTTCAGACGTTGCTGTGTCCTACGACGAGGTCAGCTCGGCTCTGTCCGGGTTCTCTTCAAACGTTGCCATGTCCTACAACGAGGTCAGCTCGGCTCTGTCCGGGTTCTTGCTTTTTTTTTAGGACCTCAGTTTTCAGTTGTATCGGCCCTTCCTTGATCGCCAGATGCCCAAGAATGGTTCCCAGGATGGGTGGGTGGGTTTGAAGAGGGTCTGATGGTTTCCTGCTTTTTACCTGGGGCTGGAAATGGGCACCAAGGGCTTAGCCGTTTGCTGCCTCGTTGCCGTTCATGCGCCAGGTTCGCGCCCGCCCCCACCTCCCCACAGGAAGGGCCTCACAGGGCCAGGAAATCAAAAGCTCTCCTCCTTCCATCCTGCTAAAAGCTTGGCGATGGATGTAATAATTTGTATTCTTTGTGACTCGCCTGTTACGCTATGTGGGTTGCAAATGGGATGGGTCTCCAGCCGTGCTTTGTACTTTGAAGCTCGACTGTAAATGTGCTTTTTTCTTAATTTAAAAAAAATGCTGATGTTTTCTTTCAGTTGACAAAAAGTCAGTGTTTATACAAATGTTCTACTACCTGTGTGGTGTTCCCTTATTTTTACAGCCGGGGGCAGGTGCTCTGAGCTGCGCCATGTTCTCCCTTTCTGTCAATTTGGATGTGAGAGACCAGGGCTTTCTTGTACCTACGATTTCCAGCATCTGTGCTGTCTGGGCAAATTCTTGGAGCTGCAGTCCAAAACCCCCCTAACATTTCCAAATTCTGTTCGGGACAGGGAGTAGCACATAATGGACAGAGAGGATGATTGGACGGATGGACGTACACACATGCTTTCTTTACCCCATGTATATATTTTTCCAGTGGAAACAGAGCCATAGTTAGGTTAGGGGGTCCGAAGCCAGTAGTGACACCCCCCTGGCTCATTGTGGGTCTGATCATGAAATCTTATTTTGGTTCTTGACAGATGAGAAGATGGGGGAGCCTGTCCTCATGATGGTCTGTACAAAATATGAGACTTTATCACTTCAGCTGCAAAGAAAACACCAAACCCCAGGATTTTCCCTATGGCTGTCTAGGTAGCTCAGGGATGAAATGATCTGGAGGAAAAGTTTACTTTACAAGGATAGGGGTTTTGTGTGTAAAATATAAATGCACCCTTTTGTCTTTTGCAAGGGTGCAATAAATACATTTATTAGTCTGCCTAAGACCACGGGATCCCTCAAGACAGCTTCCAACGGCAAAAGGAACATAAAAGCATGATAATAAATAAAACAGAAAAAGCCAAGCTAAGAGAAGTACAGAAAGATCACAATACCACAAAGACCTTGAAGGACCTTCTGAAATGAAAGGATCCCTCAAGACAGCTTCCAGTGGCAAAGCATGATAATAAATAAAACAGAAAAAGCCAAGCTAAGAGAAGTACAGAAAGATCACAATACCACAAAGACCTTGAAGGACCTTCTGAAATGAATAAAACTTGAAGACCACCGAAAAACTACAAGAAAGGGGTGTGTTGAGGGCAGGAGCCCTGCATGCACACAGAAGTGGCCACAGAAAACCCTCGGCTTTTTCTTGCTGGCTTTCTAGACTCTCAACATGGTGGCCATCAAAGGAGTGCCCACGGAAGCCCTTGTTCCCCTCGGAGGCTCCCAGGCTGGGTGGCCATAGGGCCGCTCCCCCCCCCCCATTTCGTGGGCTGATGGAGCATCCATGAATGACCCTTTTGTGGGCATCCTGCCTTGAAAGGCCATTCACTCCGAAGACTGAGCGTGACAAGAAGGAAGGGGAGCAGGGATCTGGAAATTACCCATCATCCACAAGTTACCGGCTCCCCTGTTCAAACAACAGGCACCGTAACTGGCTTTTAAGTTGTCATCATCATTTCTGATTTGGAATCTGGACACATGCCTAGACACCAGAAGAGCCACCCATTGTCACCATGAAGGAAGCCATGGGCCAGTGGTGGATTTTTACAGGATCCCACTGCTTCTGCCACCCATATTGGTACTGCAGGGTTTTGAATGTTTCTGTTCAATTCCTCATGATGCGCAGTAGTAACCACCCCTTTTTCATTAACTGGCACTTACAGTCTCAGTAACGCACTCTGAGACCTTAATAGTGGAAAGAATAAAAGGGTTTCATTGCTTACAGTTGAACCAACCAAGCAGGAAGCAGAAAAATGCGACTGCTTCCAACAACAGACTTCAACAGACTCTAGAGATAAGGGAAAAAACCCAGAGCAGAGAGGCAGGGCTTTCTTTGAATCAGAGGCAGGGAGGAAGGATTGGCCCAGTGCTAGACAGATTGACAGTCCCCCCAGCCTGGAGAGGTCCCTCCCAGCCACACTATGCACCATGCAAGGTGGTTAAAAGACAACAACCCTTCAACAATTGGTTCATCCTTCTTCCACAGAGGAGCACCAAATCTTGCACCTTTGACTGGAGTAAAGCTCTGGAACTTGATTTTTGCTACCACGGTGTGAAGAACAGGGGAAGAAAGTTCAAATGTTGATGCTGTTGAAAAATGAAGTGCCCAGCAGGATCCTGACCTGTTATCCTCAGTTGGAAGGATCTCGAGTAACAGATCCAAAAGCGA